TCATAGGTACACCAATATATAAATTTTGACCTTAGTTAAAATCTCAAATGAGCCAATCATTGTACAAGACTGCCACGTGTTTGGATGTCTTTTTGGATTATCCAAACTACAGAAAAAAAAAAACGAAACACTTTTGCAATCTAATCTCACCAATCACGACATAAACTATTGCCACGTGACAATAACCCACCTTACCCTCTTCTTCTTAAGGCCACATCATCTCTTCTCTCTCTACTCACTTCCGCCATGTCTGCAGCACTGAGCTCGTCTCTCTACATTTCCCCAAAGAAACCTCCATGTCCACAACAATCTCACTCCACAGTCTTATCCACGAAACCCACCACCATTAAAACCACTCTCCAAAGCCACCCTCTCTTCACTGTCGCCGATCAGACCGTAACCCTCCAGATGAAAGAGAAGATCCTCTGTCTCGAGCTCATGGGAATTGACTCAGGCAAAGCCCTCTCTCTCAACCCTTCTATCCGCTCAGCCTCTCTTGACTCAATCGAATCCGTCCTCCATTTCCTTCAATCAAAAGGAATCTACCCAAATGACCTCCCAAGGATCTTGGGGATGTGTCCAACGATCCTAACTTCCGACATCAGAACAGAACTCAACCCTGTCTTCATGTTCCTGACGAGTGATCTCAATGTCCCTGAGAATGAGTTCAGAAAAGTCATCAAGAAATGCCCAAGGCTCCTGATTAGCAGTGTAGAAGACCAGCTCAAGCCTGCTCTTTTCTACTTGCAGAGACTTGGTTTCAAGGATCTTGATGCTCTTGCTTACCAAGATCCTGTCTTGCTGGTGTCTAGTGTTGAACACACTCTCATCCCAAAGCTTAGGTAAAAAAAAACTATCAGTCGTTTTTTCTTTAATGTTACTTGAGTAAAGAGAAATGGACTGGTGATTAGATTAGAGAATCTACAATTATATAGTGTTACTAAGTTACATCTACAATTGAATGATTTAGACATTGCATTGTGATGTATCTATCTGGTCAGATTCTTGGAGAGTATAGGTTTCTCGAGATCGGAAGCGATTGGAATGATCCTTAGATGTCCGGCTCTATTCACATTCAGCATAGAGAACAACTTTAAACCAAAACTCGATTACTTCATGAGTGGGATCAAAGGCAAACTGGAGAATTTAAAGGAGTTTCCGCAGTATTTTGCTTTCAGTCTAGAGAAGAGGATAAAGCCGAGGCACTTGGAATCGATTGAGAGAGGTTTAGAGCTGCCATTGTCATTGATGCTTAAGAGCACTGATGAAGAGTTCGAGCAATTGCTCCTGCTCACAAAGCCATCTTCAGTTGCAAATGTGTAATTATTATTTTGTATAATAAGTTGGGGAATTGTTACTGTGTTTATTGATTGTGTTCAAAGCTTATATATATTAACATTGTTCCATGTATCTCTGAACTGCCAAAGTATATAAGGTTGGTTGATAGGTAACTTCTTACTACAAGAATAAGGTTGGTTGATAGGTAACCTTGTACCGATGCGGTACAATGTATATAATTTCTATAATTACTAATCAAAAAGGCGGTACCACATGCGTTAATTACATTCAGTTTTTTGTACTGTTACTTCTTTAAGCTTTTAACTATTTTTTATAGTTCCAATGGCTAAAAACTAGTCAATGTAGTGTAGGTCACCAATTATCAGATCCACAATATTTTACTGTTTCCAATCCTAAATTCATTTATTATTGTTATATTATCCTTTAAATTTTTACCATTTTATCTCACCAGTCGCATTGTATAATTCAAATTTTTAAGATTTTTGATCCAGGTTACCAATGTTGGAAGATTTGTTTCCAAAGTAAAAAAAAAAAATTCCAGATTTTGCAGAGGTATGGTTGGGCTTCAGTGGGCTTCATGCTAGGAATTTATTTGGTTTGATAATTTTTTCGTATTATTACATGATCTATATAAATTATGAAGAAAAAACAAAAAATAGCATTAAACCCTAAAAACTCGTTCGTATACTTCGTCGTCGTAGTGAATAAAAAACCCTCTCAAGTAAAAAAAAAAATGTTTTTAACATATTCGATTTCATGGCTGAGGTTCGTCTTCGTCATTTTATAATTTTCCTAAATTTATTACTTTTGCTTGAATAATAAACGAAACAAAGTCAGTCGGCTGCGTTTGGGTTCTTCTTCTATTCATCAGATTCACAAAATTAAAATTTGGCAATCGAACAAAAGTCTTTTGGTTTTTCCTTTTCCTCTGTTTTTGGATCGGAAAAATATGTTATTCTCGAGGGGTATTTCTCGGATTTCTTCCAAGTTTCTGAGAAATCGCAGCTTCTATGGCTGCTCTCAATCTCTCGCCTCTCATCGCCTCCTCGCACTCCTCCCCGATCAGGGTCACTCTTGTTGCTCTGACTCTCCACGCAAGGTAAATTTCTACATCTCTGACTCGATTTGGGATTTTCTGATTTTGCAGTTTTGTGAAGAAATTGATTGCATGGGTTTTATTCTGATTGTTCCGAATTGAATATTTTTACTATCAACAATCCCAGGTTTATTTCTAAGTAATCATTACCGTCGAATAAAGGGCTCGTTTTTATTTTGCCTAATGATTAATTTAGCGTCTTTGTTGGAATTTTTGTTAAAACCAATTGAAG